TATGCGACTGAACAAGTGGGCCAACTGCTCTTGAGCGTCGGGTCCCAGGCCTTTCAGTACCTTAGCCGGGATTCCGTCCAGGCCCTGCGCAGTGCCGCCGTTCAACCGCGCGAGAGCGCGTGCGACCTGTACTCTTCCCACGATGGTGGTGTTGTCACTCGTCAAATTAAGTAGCGGTGGATCTTTGATATAAGGGCCTCCTGCTGACACGCTCTCATTACCGTGGAAATCCTGTGTCGTCCCAAAAAGATTGTGAAGGTGTTCATCCAAGAGAGCTCTAACGTTGTGCACTACACCTCCATTTTTGGCATCGATCAGTTGGGGAGAATTATCTCTTCCATCCAGTGTTCCAATATAACGCCAGAACTTCTCTCCGGCTCTTTTTCCACCCTTTCTGATATCTTTCATCACCTTGCAATCATGTATCTGTTTTTTCTCCTCGACGATAGATTGTGTTATTGCCTTGAGCTTCTGGTATTCCTCCCAGAGTCGCTGAGTCTCCGGTGCTTTTCCAAGCGTCCGCAGAGCCCGGCGATGGTCTCGGTTTGCGTCTTGCCTGAGTTGGATGGATCTCCGGATTTCAGCATCCCACCACGATACAAGCCGTCTTTTCCCGCTTGAGCCTCTCATAATCGACCGTGTGGTGATTGCCTGCCGAAGTGCATTGGCATAGTCATCATAGATGAGGGCATTTATGCGCTTATCACTTTCTTCGAACTCCTGACACACTGCCTCAATATCACAGTCACGTAATTGGAACGTCATTTTACGTTTCGGCCGGCTGCGTTGTCGTTGGATTGCACCAAAATGAAGTATGATGCTGTTATGATCGCTGCCAATACTGCACTCGCCATCTTCATCTACAGTTATTTTTTGAAGGCGACGTGCGAGCCTCTTTGATGCCAGGGCATAGTCGATACATGTTCGTCGGTCCCGGGCCATCCATGTGTGTTGCCCCTCACATTCCTCTCTGAGGTTTAGAATCTCCAGGTCGAACTCCTCCGACAGCTGTCTCAGCATTCGGCCATTGTCGTCCTCACGCCCGTCAATCTCAACCAGATGGCCATTAAAGTCCCCCATAACTAGCACAGACAATCTTCGATCTAGGTTTTCGATGTCACGTTGAACGCACTCCAGTATGGCCTTATTCTCCTCATGCCTGGAATTCCCCACGGAAAGGTAAAGGGTGCATACCGCCGTCGGTATGTTACCCACCTGTCCTTGAACCCACAGGTGTTCGCAGCACGTTTCAGATATCCTTATCCATGCTTGTCCTCCACTTGGCCAAAGGAGGCCCACACCACCTCCCCGTCGGTCACCCTCCACCCTGTTACACCCAGTCCAGCACCAGGAAGGGTCTACTGGGGGTTCCTCAGCGTCCCGCAAGTGTGTTTCAGCAACCCCGAACAAAGAAAAGCCTTGTTCCCGGAGTACTACATAGAGCTCAGCCCACTTTCGTTGACGCCTCGCACTATTCAAATTTAAAAAGCCAACGACAGCACTGTCTCTTTTCCGTGGTTGCCCTTGCTGCCGCCGCGCCAGAAACTCGGTCAACACTCCCGCTGAAGCTGCATGGCTGCTAGTTGCTCTCGGACCAGTTGATTCACAAAGTGCGTCAGCTCTTGTGATGGGGCACATGTGGGGTGCTGAAGGCATCCGGTCATCAAGTCGGTCAGCATCGGGTTGCACACAGGAAAGGTCTGTCTCGCAGTAGGCCCTAGAGCAAACGTTCCTTCCTGACTGCCTGTCTTCGATGGGAGTGCCCCACAGCTTTGTCCTTGAAGATGTCCGTTGGGTGGTATGAGGAGTGGGGGCACCCATATTGCGTGCAGAGGTGACGACTGTGGCGGATGGTCCCTCTGGCATTGTAGGGGATACACAGGACCGTGAAAGTTGGGCACCGGCTTCTGTACAGTCTCCTTTGATATTGGAGGCGTGTTCACCACCCGGTGTGCTCAACTCGTTCTGGGACCAGAAGACAGACCTGGGAGGTCGTGAGCGAGTGCTTTTTTTTCTGCCTCTGACCGGTTTACTACTGAGGAATGCGTCCCGTATCGTCTCCTGTTGCTCCCAGTATGGTCGCTGAAATTGTCCCTTCTTTGAAGTCCTAAAAAATGAGCCACTAATGCACCCACTCGGTCGGTTAGCACCTGGCTACCTTCTCTGCTGTAGTGAAGCCCGTCCTTTTGCATTGCTGGGATACTGGCCAGTTCTCGGCTGAGGTCGATAAACCTTGCTCTAATTCTCTTGCACAGCTGCTTCAGCTTTGCATTCAGGAGCATGGTCGTAGCGCGTAGTTCCTTTCCTCTGCCGTCTATTTCGGGTACTGAGCAGATGGCTAGTGATGCCTTACGTTTGGCCCACTGTAGCCTCAGACGCTCTATAATTGTGTCAGATTGCTCGCCCTTCAGAACGTCATTCAACCCCACGTGCAGTATATACATGCGTGGTACATTCCTCGCTTTTTCCTCATATGTTTCGATAATTTTATGTACTACCTCAGTTGTGGCTCCCCTGTTCGTTATAAACTCCATGCTTTGAGGTGCTTGGACTTCCTCGATGAGAGCTCGAGCTATCCGCAGGACGTTCCCATCTCCTGCGATTATCACTTCTCGTGTGATCCCTCGTGGCGGTCGGATCTGAACATCCTCATGCGTCAGCTTCTTTGCAGCCACGGGCACGTGAATCTCCTGAATGGACATGTGTGTGACTCCACTTGAAGTTTTCCTTGGGACTTCGTCACACTGCGTGTCAGTGTGCGCTGTCACGTTATTGGTGTTATTTATGGCAGTACCGGCATCCTGTGGACGGTCGTCCTGTAGTGCGTTTCCTTGCTTGTCTGCTCCAGCATTCGTCGCATCGTTCAATGTCATCGCACTGTGATGCAGTTCTGTTTCACTACTCATCTGGTTCTCCCCTTCAGATTCCGATGGTGCGCTGCTTGTCCCATCTTCTGTAACCATGGAATCTCCTGTCGGTCCAGCTGCTACTGCATGTCCTGAGAGCGCTGTCACTAGTGTTTGCAGTGCTTCGTTCTTCTTCGCCGCCTCGTTTATCCTGAATTCAAGTGTCGATATCCTCTTAGTCACTTCAGACAGCCTGCGCCCGTCCGATGCTCGGTCTAGGCGTACTGACAGGGCGCCTATCTGAGCCTCTAGTTCCTCGAGTCTTTTTTCGTGTGCATCCCTCATTTTGTACATCTCGGCACATACCTTGCATGTGAGAGGATATCTTTGATTCGTGTCGTCATGTTTCGCGTCTGCCTTCAGCTCCAACGACCCGCAGTCTACACTACTAATGCTGTCATCAACAGCTGCAGCAGAGTCTTCAGCAGCCGCTGCAATGTTGGTAGTCTTCACGGTGGCTTGGGAAGTCCGGGCGGAGTCTGGCGTCAAGACGGGCGTCGCGGCGCGAGTGGCAGTGGTCGGCGTAGCACCCTGAGAGGGCTCGTCGGCTTGCCGATTGGCGACGGTACAGGCCGCATGTACGTCAACCAGTGTCGTTGCCTTTGGCTGGTAGTGCCCGCTGACCTGGGGTTCTGGCACGACAAGGTGCTGCACACTATTGGACATCGTGTTTACAGGCAGGAAGCGTGTGGTAGGGAGCAACGTGGGAGTAGAAGTTTCTCCTGCGGCCGATGGCTCCTCCGTGCTGTCCATGCCCACTTCTGAACCGTTGTTGCCCGCAGTGGGGATATCCAAGCTCTCCGGAGGGAACACTTCGTCTTCATCGCTGACAGCGGTGTTGCTCAAAAACTCCAGGCTGCAATGAATATCTCGTATGGTATCTGTAGGGGAACACGCAGTAGCTTGTAGACGCTCAATGAGTTCTCCCTTGTTTCCGGAGGTAGGAAGTCCACGGGCTTTTAGTGCCCTTTTTAGGTCGAAAACCTTCATCTCGGTCATTTTTTCAGCGGACATATTTCCATCTGCGTGGACAGCAAACTGGTATCGACGGGCCGGGGGCCGACCAAAGGATACGGAGTAGGCGATATGTCGGCGACGTCTTCGGCGCCTCGGCCGAGTGGAGCGGTGCAACGGAGGTCAGTCGAGCTTCGGGGTGGCCGGTCGTGTGAAAAAAGTACGGCGTGAAGCAAGTCGCGACGGTTAAAAGGAAGACCCCGAAAAAACCAACCGTTAGGCTCGTATCTTCTTTTTCCGTAGCCAACGTCTTTTAAACACTTGCTCTAAGACACCCGCAAATCATGGCCGCTCATTCCAAACACCAGAACCAACTGCCCCCGAGCTACCATGCACTTCTTTCTCCTCAACCCGGTGGCTCGGCTGTGCGTGGCAACGGTCGACGAGTCTCGTCGGCCAACCCGATACCTTACAATCCTCCCCCCTTAGATTAAATGTTCAGCCGGTCTTCACAAAACTTCAGCAGCTGGTCAGCATGTGAGACTGGGAACGATGAAGCAGCTGACTTGCAAGAGGAAATCAACGACGGAGAGATTCGAAATGGTGTTGACGAAAAGGCGAAGAGACAAAAGAAGGCGAAGGGAAACGAAGGCGTGGGCAACGGCGAGTCACTCGAAGTAAAGGAAGATGCTGGGAAGTCAAAATCTAAGACAAAGAAACTGGCGGGAATGAGCATCGACGGACCCGACGAAGAAACGGAAAACCCTCCAGCCAAGAAACGTGACCGACGGAATACTGTTGGAAAAACGAATTCGCCCAAGAACGAAGTCGCGAACACCGCGGAGAAGCCGCTGATCAAGCTGCAGGAGCACACTAACAAGGCATCTCCTATAGGTGAAAGTGCCAGGCACCAACCCACACCAGGCGGGTCGTCTGGGACAATGGATCGCCGGAAGTTCGGAGGCTTCGAAAGCTGTGGACAGGCAGTCGAAGGAGAACGGGGATTTGATGAAGTCACAGCTGCGGAACCTCCTCCTTCGGGAGCACAAGGAATCGAACTGGGCACAGATCCCATGTTGCCCTTGCTGCCAACCAAGTAGTGCCATCTATCGGTGGCGTTTTAAACTGACAGCCGCATTGTTTCGGTTTCCGAATCTTCCGTGCACGTGGGTTCGTTCTGTGAAAGTTCATCGCACATACGGTAAGTTCTTGTCATGTGACTTATTTCAGTAATTCAGAAGTTGTTTCTAATTTGTTTAGGATACCCTAGACGCATATTATGTTAACTCTGACCTGATATTTTGTTTGCAAAACATTTTTTTAAGTTTGTGCCAGATGTGGCACAACATGCAGTCTGCTATGGTGACGTTGAATATTGTAATTGAAGTATGTGCGTGTTTTACACTTCTTAGACCTATGGATTCTCGGAAATTCTATGGCAAGGGACCACCTGGAAATGGAAATGAAAGCGAGGACAGTGAGCTGTCTGACGATGGTGACGACCTTTACGTGCCACCAGAGAAAGAAACTGTACCCCTGCATGACCTCTCATCATCTGATACAGAATCGGTCGATGATGCTGAGCTCCTGCCATCCCCAAGAATCAAAAAGCAGAAGACTAATATCCCAACTTGGAAAGAAAAAAACATCCGTCTATGATCCTGAGGCCGTGAAGTTTTCCGGTGATACCACACTTCCACGAGAAGTTACTGAACTCGACACACCTCTTCAATACTTCAAATATTTTATTACACCTGAGATTGTGGACCACATAGTCGATCAGACAAACCTGTACTCAGTACAGTGTGAGCCCAACAAGCCAGTGTGTGTAACTGGAGCAGAACTTGAACAGTTCTTTGGAACAATTCTCTACATGTCCATTGTGAAGCTCCCAGCGACGAGACTTTATTGGAACAGTCACATCGGGCAGCATGCTATTTCGGACATCCTATCGTGCAACCGTTGGGAGGAGCTCAAGCGGTTCCTCCATGTCAACGACAACACCACATTTGCCCCCATTGGTCACCCATCTCACGACAAGCTGCACAAAATCAGACCGCTTTTGGACATGCTAAACGCGCGGCTGCACTTGATTCCAAAAGAGGAGTATCTTGCAGTAGATGAGCAAATAATTCCGACAAAATCAAGGTCATCAATTAAACAGTATAACGCCAAAAAACCTCACAAGTGGGGATACAAGGCATTTGTACTGAGTGGAATATCGGGGTTCAGTTATGACATTGAAGTGTTTGCTGGCGCTCAGAACAACACCGTACCGGTTGGCTGTCCAGACCTTGGCGCTAGCAGCAACGTAGTCTTGCGACTGTGCAAGACTGTTCCTGAGCAAAAGAACCACAAAATTTTTTTTGACAACTGGTTCACCAGTGTGCCACTTGCTGTTCAACTTGCCAAGAAGGGCTTGCTTCCTTTAGGAACAGTGAGAGCCAACAGATTGCCTGGGTGCAAGCTACCAAAAGAAGCCGAGTTGAAAGCCAACGGACGTGGCAGCATGACTGAACGAGCCGCAACAGTCGATGGTGTCGACGTGTGTGTCGTGGCGTGGTATGACAACAAGGTAGTGACCACTTTGTCTACCTATGTTGGAAGTGGCCCAGTGGCTGAAGCTGAGAGGTATGACCGAAAAAGAAAACAACACCTGATGGTTCCGTGCCCGCAGTCGGTGAAAGTTTACAACAGCTACATGGGGGGTGTGGATCTTCTGGACTCCATGCTAGGGCTTTACAGAATTCAAATCAGATCAAAGAAATGGTATCTCAAGATATTTTTTCATGCCCTTGATTTGGCATTAGTAAACTCTTGGCTCCTCTGGAGGCGAAGGAATGGAAAAGGAATGCCGCTCGCTGACTTCAAGTTGTCTGTAGCTGAAGGTCTCTGCAAAGCTGGAAAACCTGCCGAGAGAAAACGAGGGCGCCCGAGCAACGAAGTCGAGGCTCAACTCATCGAGAAAAGGAGACGTGGTCCTGCAGCTGCAGTACCCTCGCAGGACGTTCGCCTGGACAAGACGGACCACTTCCCCCTATGGATTGAGACACGGGCAAGATGCAAGTTGCCGAGTTGCCAGGCAAAATCCTTTGTGTCATGCCAGAAGTGCAATGTTCCTCTCTGCTTGAACAAAGAGAGGAACTGTTTCTTGAAGTTTCACACGTCCTAAATGTTTGTGTATGTTGACACAAATCTGTCATTTAATGTTTCTTCCAAACAATAAATATTCTTTCAAATATTGCCACAAATAGTATGGTCAAAATAAGTTGAATAAAATGTCTTGTGGTTCCAACAAAATTATGTATACTGCATGCTGTCCCATAAATGGCACAAACCTAATTTTATAAAAAATCTCGCATGTTTATTATAATTTTTGAAAAATATTTTAAGTTATGTTTTTATATTCCCCAGCTGCATGAAATATATTTTTCTCGTCGTCGTAAAAAAAGTCATGCGGTAAAGGGTTAAATTTAATACTTTATCTTTTTGTTCTTGTCACATCCCCCACGTATTTGTTTTTTTTTTGAAATTTTGAGAATTACAAATTTATTCCAGGAAGAACGTATTCTTCATCAGGACCGTAACACGGCCCCCCCCCCCCCCCCCCTACCCATGCATGCAATGAGTTGAATAAATATTATTATTATTATTATTATCGTCTCCGACACCTCGCAAAGATGGCCGAAAACGACCAGGCGCCGGCCAATCAGGACGTCACGTGAGCTCAAATGACACCGTCATGGAAGGGTGTTCTTGGGCCGTTGCGGTTTGTTCAGATGAGAGCAAAAAATGGCCGTGCCTTTGGCACTTTTTGGAGGCGTTCTTCTTGCTTCGTGATTTGTTCCTCGGCGTTTTTCGCGGCGCACGCCGCAATTCCACTGACTGCGGAGGGTTAATGAGATGTTTGGAACTCGCCACATCCCGAATTTCTTAAGCTGTCAGAAACTACATAACTTCGTTCCAACTTAAGTTCAGAAGCATCCGACGCTACGAAGTAAGCGGACCAATCAAGCAGCTTCAAAAATGCAAGTAACTACGCCTTTTCTATTTATAATTGCTTCAGCGAAGGTAGAACATCTATATAAACGTGACGAGCACCATGATGGTGCGCTTTTGATGCTGTCTGATTGGTCCCATCAGCTAGTACCATCGGCTGTGTATGGTCTTAAAGGGGCCCTCCGGAGCTTTCTGCGATCGTCTGTTTATGTTGTTATATTGCGTAGTAGGTGCAAGTTAATATGTATACGAAGTTTTAGGTTACCAAACCGTTTATTAAGCAGATGACACAAGAAATATATCGGGACTATTTTCTCTTGGAAGACAATTTCCCATTCCCTGCCCATCGCTAAAACTTGACCAATGGAAATGTTGCTACACGCGGTGAATGCGAACGTTATTATTGCAACACTTTTGAAGATTGTTCTAAATTAGAGTTTGAGAAAAACGTAAACTGATTGTGGTGCGGGAAACATAGTCCGCAATTATCGCTCCAAAATCAGCGAACTATGTTTCCTCCCCGCAAGCTTGTTGCTAGGGGGTGATGCGTCGGCTCGTCTGCTTCCCGGGGCGTGAGCAGGCGTGCGTTTGCGGGACACGTGTTCCTTCTTCCCGTGGATCCCGACTCCGAAGCCAACTTTGCGATCCTTCCACGTCAACGAGTCAAACTTTTCCTTGTCATCTGTGGAATGCGACTGCGTATTGCAGTAGCAGCGCGACAGTGCGACGAACGACGACTGCCGAACACGAAGTCCGGGCTCCTTGACGACGGTCCGCGCGTGTTCGAGAGATTCTTCCGCGGGTCGGCGGTCGGCCGCGTTGGTGACGCGCAGTGACGCCGGAATCGTTCACCTGCTATTGGCTGACGCGTAAAGAGATGCCCCTCCCGTGTTCCGGGCCCTTAGCGAAAAGTCGTTCAAAATCAGTATACTGAAAGTGTACTAATAGTGAACTTAGGGTATGTACTGAAATCGTACTAGTTTCACACTTTTATGAAACAAAATAGTACACCTTTAGTACACCCCAAGCACATACGTAGTATACCATAAGTGCACCTCGAGTGTACTTTTAGCATACTATAAGTGCACGTTTATTACACTACGCGTATGCTTTTAGTGTACTAAATGTACACTATTAGTACATATATGCGGAGTGTCCCAGATAACTTGCACCTAACTTTAAAAAAACAAAAACGGAGCGTTCTGCGGGAGTGAAACCATCTGTACACTGTTAGAAAGTCTCTTGCGAAAGTGCACGAAATTGTTTTAGTGCGCCTAATTATTTAACAGTAAGAAGCTAACTTTTGAAATCTTTGTTTAAAAGCAGAGGTGTGAAATGGAAAGTTGTAGAGCGCATTAACAAACACCCAATTAAACCATTTTCAACAAGGTGCACTTTGCATGCTCCTTTTCCCTAGCCTTCAAAAAAACGCCCGCGAAATACAAAAAAATACCCCGTGACAACTCGCTTCACCAATCACGGCGTGCGATCGCCCCGCGAGTATGCGTTCTTTGAAGGCCGGAAAAAAGCACGAAAACGTATTATGTTTCAAACACTTTAATTGGGTGTTTCTCAATGCGCCCTGCAACTTTACAATTGATATCTTGGCCCTTAAAAGAATATTTGAAAGGTTAGCTCATTAATCTTAGTTATTTGCATAACCAGGCGCATTAAAAAAATCTGTGCACTTTCTCAAGACACTTGCTAACGACAGTTGATTTCACTCCTGCAGAGCCATCCGGTGTTTTTTTAAGTACGGTGCAAGTTATCTGGGACGCCGTGTATGTCGAACGTTCTGAATGGAAAAAAACGGTCTCAAATTGACCAGAAAAATCGGCGCCTGCATTCAAAAAGCTGACTTTTCAAAAGTGTTTCTTTGAACGGCTGTATTCCAACCTGTAAAATTTCATCTCATTCAGCTCCATTCTCGTGAAATGTTAAGAAACGCCGTTGACAACTCAATTGATGATGATAATGCAGAGGCGCCACCATCGGGAGATGCACTCTTAAAAACGAGTCAGGAAATTAACGAGGAAATCTTTGGCAGCTCTATTCCTCGTGAGAATGACGTACCGGCGTCTTCGGAAACTGTGTGAGAAAAGCCATAAAGAAGAGGTGCACTGCTTTCTTCAACTGAAAGTATGTATGTGTAGCATACAAACATTATGATCAGTGTTCTTCGCGTAATTGATAAGACAAAATGAAATCCTACTTATCACTTTATTCAAGTTTCCGAGCATGCCTCACTGTACACTCTCGTTTGTGATGATGGTATGCCATTACATCCTGCGTAAAAAGAGAAGAGAAAATTACCCTATGCCACTCTATGATATGACATCACAAAATTCGCTCAAAGGACCACTATGTGAGGAGGGCAAGATAGTAACAACTTCATCCTGACAAAAGGGCGAGGAAAATCGGACAATATCGTTTCTGAAAACATGATACCTGAAAGAAGCTCTAACACAGAGTAAAGAAAATGATTGGCATTTTCTCAATGTCTCCTTTTCTTTTGCTGTGAACACACATACAAGTCATACGCTATTACACATTCAGTGGTGCGGCTTAATTTATGATAAGTACTTTTTTTATATAACTTCGAGCTTTTAGAGAAAATATTCAATATAATGGTCGGACATAAATGGTTGCTGTGAACTATCCTATATATTTACACATTATCTGATATCATGAAAGCACTAGAGCAGGGTAGGGCTGTACTGCATCAATTATAAATTTCTAACCAATTAAAAGTTGGCATTTATTTAATTTATTAGTATTGGCTATTATTCTTTGACGAAGAATAACTGGGCGAGTTGGTACGTTGGTAATCTTTCAACTCCATCGAATATTCAGGTCCTTTTAACATTTTTTTCATGCTTTTGCTTTTTCTAACTGCTCTGCCTTTTGTAGCGGCTTTCGCCGCCACTAAAAAACGTGACATCCAAACTCACTTTATTCACAACACAAAATCGCAAACTAGGAAAGCGTGCCGCTTCGGCATACGCAAAGAGATCGTCCGTCTCTACGGCACAGGCATCAGCACGGGCAAGAAATCATGCTGCTCGCTCTTGTAACGTTTTTCACGCTCCCGCTTTATGAAACAAATCGCTGACGAGAGACTGTTGGAACCACACCTCAGAACTAGCATGACCTGTGATTGCTTGAACTGCCGTCAGACTGTACTTGAACGCTCCGCAAAAGCGTCGTCGGGCGACCGTCGTAGGGACGGCGCCCAGGACAGGCCCTCGGCTGGCCCTCGGTTCCGCCGCACGCGAATCTTTCTCACTCTGCGGAGAGAGCCATAAATTTTGAAGATACGCTCTTTTCAAATAACGAAATAAAACCGAGTATGGCATAGTGAGAGTCAAGCATAGCTTAGCAAGCACACGGTACAAGACAAAGTTTGAAACAGCGGCGCACTTCGCAGAAACAAAAGTAACTTCCTCACCTTCGCTTGCACCAGTCGGCCATGACTGTCCGCCACTTGCGACGCTGTGTCTCACAGCTCTCAGTAATCGCTTGCTATTATTGAACACGGTATTCGTAAGTAAGATATCTAAAATATCCGCAAAAACGGCTAAAACGTAAAAAGGAAGCGATGCTCGAACTCCCCGGAACTCCAACGGCGGCCGAACGGAAGCTGATTGCAATAGCGATGGTCTTGCGCAGTTTTCAAAAGTCTCTTCTTTTTGTTCTTTTTTTTTTTTTTTTTTTAAGACAAAACTAAGCAAATTAATATATTAATAATAATAATTTCACTTTATTATATTCGTAAAATATTAACAAAACGTTTAGTCTATCTCAGGTTTTATCTAAACTTTCGGTTTTCTTTTTCAGTGTAAAACCGAAACTATCTCAAGCAATTTCTCCCTTGTCGCCAAGGCTATTTTGATTCATCAGCGCATGCTTGCACCGCTAGTATTTCGGCTTTTCTGGAAGGATCGGCTCTCGCGGCACATAAATAATGAGGGCAACCTCGTGTTCTGAAACAATTAGCGTGCCCGTCTTTTTTGACGAGGGAAAGACACGTTAAATTTACGTCGATTTTTTACAGTGTGGAAATCTCGATCGACGGTGTTGTTCGTTGTTGCAATTGTCAATCTCTTTTCACGTGAATTGAGATGTCTTAGAGTTTTGCAAGATAAATCTACACCATGAAACACTTTCGGTGAAAGCTTGAGGTTGTTACATAAAGGCGCCGATTTCTCCAGCCAATTTCAGAGCGAGCTTCCATTCATAACATCACTTCGCT